ATTTCAACTTGATTTCAAACTGATTTCAACTTGATTCCAAATTGATTCCAACTTGCTTTCAACATGATTTCAACTTGATTCCAAGTTGATTTCAACTTGATTTCAACTTGATTTCAACATGATTTCAGCTTGATTCCAAGTTGATTTCAGCTTGATTCCAAGTTGATTTCAACTTGATTTCAACATGATTTCAACTTGATTTCAAGTTAGATTTTAGGTGATCATAATTGAATTTGAAATTCATAGAAAGGAATGTTATAATACAATAATCGACATTTTTTAATAAAATTTGTCGAATTCGACAAATTTGGATTTCAATTTTGTCGAATCGACAAATTTTTTTCGACAAATTTTTTTCGAGAAATTTTATCGACAAATTTGCGATCGACATTTTTTGTATTCGACAAATTTGATGTTTCCCGGTAAAATCAGTCAATTGTGTGACATCTTCAATTCACACTTTCGAGAAAAGTTATTGTGAGCATTGAGAATTGTATGTAGATCCATTTTTCAAATATATTTGGTTTCTTTTAGCGTTATTTTTATGACTTATAACGAAAGAAGTCAAAGATAGTCTAGTTTTTTCAAGCTTGACGAGCTTATTACAAAACTGATGCATGTCAAATATTGATTATTTGAAACGAATTTTCTTTCTGTTCTTCAAATGTTGCTAATACAGGGTGGTCCAAAAAAAACTTACCCCCTAACTGTTTTTGGTTCTTTGAAAATATATGTATTCCAAATGACGAACTTTTTTTATTTCAAAAACTATTAATAGTCATATGGTACATAATAGATGCGTCTAGTTTTTGAAATAAAAACTAGTTTATATATGAAATAAATCTCGTTTCGAGTAGGTCCAAAATACTTAGGGGGTAAGTTTTTTTTGAACCACCCTGTACAATTGTTCTTTTATAGACAAGTACTATCTTCGACCATATGGGACATCCTTACTCTCACGTAATGATAGATTGACCATTTGTTGCATTGCTCGTGATTCTTTTGTGACAAATCTTTAATGCATAGAACCCCGAACATCATACTATCGTCTGTACTTAATAAATTTAACATTTGTTTTTAAACAAAAATAATTTTTTTAATGTTGAAAATATTTCTTTAAAACACGTATTAGTTTTCTCAAAAACTTCTGATATATTGTTGAGATTAATCAGAATTACGAAATGACGCTAAAATGCTTCTAACTCATTGAGAACAAAAATATCTTTGCCTTAGTAAAAATTCTAATAAAATTTCTACTCAGATTGTCTCTTGAAAAAGTTCGACTAATTTTTGGTATGCCTCCTGCTCTAGAGACAAATGAATTTTAAACTGATAAATAATTATGCAAGGATGATCTTTGATTATGAGTGCTCATTTCTATATACTACAAAAAAAACAAAACTTTGGACTCACTGGATTATCGAACTCGTATGAAACATTCAAGTTGTTATAATGACGCAGCTTGCTCATTAAGTATTTAAATATTTGTTCTATCGAAAGAAAATTTAACTGGTCACGGATTTCATCAGGATTTCATAAGTTTCTTCTCTAAATATTTCAAAAAACAACTAAAATTAGATATAGTATATTGTTTTAATAATTCTTTCTATCAGATAGTAAAAATATTTGTACGATAGAGAGCACAATTTTAAATTTTCTTGTCTCTGATTGGATGTATTTTTTATATTTACAGAATTTTTATCGTCTAAGTGGATGAACAAAAATTGGGTATTGTGAAAGTTGTTCTTGATGACAAAACAAGAAATAGAGAAAACAGTGATGATGGCAATCAACTTGAATTTTTTTTACCTTTAAATTTTTTTGTGAAGAAAATTGTTGATGCTGCTTGTGCACTGTCCAAACATGTCATGTTGATTGACAACTTGGAAATAGTTGAGCCTATGAATTAGTCTATTCAAATACTATCTATCTTCAAAAGATCTAGAGCCCAAGGCAATAAAAAAGAGTTTTTTTTCATACTCAATCGAAACTTATCGTTAATTACCTTACTTCTGATATCCATAATAAAAAGAAAGTATATTCAAATGTTTCTATAACTAATCGTTATTTCTCTTGAATTTGGTTCCTTGATTGAGTCCTTCAAGGTCTTGGTTGCATATAGTACACTCAAAATACTTAACCATCGTTTTACTATTCAAAATATACTTTGAATCAAGAGTGCTCATTTTTGAAAAGAGACTATTCACTCTCTATAGAACATCATAGAACCTTTTGAGAAGACAAGTATTTGTTGGCAAAAGAAAATTTTCCGATCAGCGACAAACCAATATCGACCGATAATACCTCTTGCCTTCAATCTTATGATACCCAATAAAGATTATGTGTATCTAAAGGATGGCAGCTTAAATGCTTTTCTCATTGGTTTATTCATATTCTATAAGTTAACAACCTTGTTTGAATATGTTTGTTCCATCGAATAAAATACAAGCTATAAAATTTAATCGAATCATTCAACTTAAGCAGAATTTTCTTATCTTTTAGAAAAAAAAATATAACCAATATTAATCATTTGTGATTCGATGACGACCATCAAAATTTCATCAAAAAAAGACTCAATTTTACAATTTAGTCATTGAAGTGATCATAATGGAGCCAACATTTGTCAGTCATAATATTGGTCATGTATTGAAAATAGTCGCATCTAAAAAGATAACTGTCAAAAATCTAACACACTATAAATATTTACATAAAAGCTTTATTAACAATAATGCATTGGATATTTTGTTATTAATATTAATGTACTTTTCAATTGCTTCTCATAAAATTTAAAATAATATCGTACTGTTGACTTCTACTGAAAATCATATAGATAATCATTTGGGTATGATGTCTACGAGGAATTTCATAAAATTCTGCTGGTGCTTTTTGTAAAATTATTAAATTCCCAAACAGATGTCTATTTTGAGTTTGAATCACTGGATAAGTTCTTCCACCAATTAAAATAAGATGAGGATTTCGTATATTTTTCCAATATTTCATTGATGATGCTTGACTCCATTTTTTTGGATCATTAGAACATACTTGTATATATGTATTATAATGTTTATTAGTTTTCGATGATGTTTGCTTCAAATATTCACATATGTCAAGACCAAATGCATCAAGTAAAATAATACCATAAATTGGATTTGTCATATTATATTGATCAAAGAACCGAGTATTAGAATTAATAAATTCTATTAAATGTCCTCCACTTGAATAACCCATAAGAAATATTCGATTTGGATTACCACCATATTTAGATACATATTGATGTACCCATATGATAGCTGCAGCACAATCTTCAGCAATCTTGTCTATTTGATTAGGTGATAAACTGTAATCAATAATTACAGTAACTAAACCTTTACGAACAAAATTGCGTCCAAGAAATTTGTATCTATTTTTATGACCATGTTTCCATTTACCACCATGAACAAACACAAGAACATCTCTTAATGAATCTTTACTTGAATAATAAACATCTAATGTATTCTGTTTGTTGTGTGTATCATTTTTGTAACTGATGTTACGTATTGAACGTACCATTTTTGCCTTCTGATATATACAAACTTGTAATAATATTATTAATTGACCAGGTAATATTGCGTGTATGAAATGCTCTTTAGTTTGCAGAATCAACAAGACACACAAAAAAATAATAAAAAAACAGCAGAACAGAATGGATACACCTATAATTTAAATTTTTGTAATGACGCTTTATTGATGTATAAAAATAACATAATGAAATTTTTCCATTTCAATTTATGATTGATAACATATTCGTAGTTAATTTTTTTTCTTCGACTCTTCAATTAAAAATACAACAGATAAAAAATAATGTCCAATATATGTAACACGTCAAAAAAAAATATGCGCATGACTACTTTTGTCTCATTTTAATGTTAAGAAAACATGAAAATGATTTATTTACGTAATAGAGTTCTTGATGATATATTTTACTTGCCGTTCATTGAACTATTTTTAGTTTGACTGTTTTGTCATTATATAGAAGAATTTTGAAGTAAAGAGGTCACTGATCATTTAGCCTAAAACAAGGCGACGTTAGTTGTTATAGTGATGGTTATACATGACGAACAAAAATGGTAATGATCAAACTTTCAAAAAAAAAAAACTCATTTGTTATTTGAGTTTTTGCTACAAAAGTCATTTGAATTATTTCGAATAGAGACGTTACTTCCACTTTTATTTTTATATTTAAAAAAATGAATGAAAAAAAACCAATAAATGTGACAAAGTCTGTTAATCAAGCTAAATCAATTGATAAAAAGTCACAAATACCTGTTCTTATTTCGTATAATAAAAATGATGATGGGAAAAACTACGAAGATAATTGTATTTATTATAACAATGTACAACAGTGTATTGAAACTATTAAACAATCTTCTGTACCAATATTTCTAATTTTAAATAGTTCGTCAGCTACGGATATTCTTTCTCGTATTCATTCATTAACACAAATTGATACAATTTTTATTTATTGTAACTCTGCACGAGAACAACAAAGATGTCAATATCTTTGTCAACATTACTCAAAAATATTTGATCTATTCAGTGATCGTAAACAATTACTTGATATTATTCAAGAAAATCTTCTTCTCTGTCAAAATCAATCAGGCAATGATTATCTTCGTTTAGCTGAACGTTATAAACAACAAAATGAATTAAATCGTGCACTTAAATATACTTATAAAGCATTGGATATATATCGAAAAACACTTTCAAATCAAAATCACCCATTAATTGCTCGTTGTTTAAATAATCTCGGTGGAATTTATGATGCTCAAGGTGATGCCAATCGATCATTTGAATTTTATGAACAAGCTATCAAAATCTATTCTCATTTAACACCATCTTTATGTAATCAACCAATATCAAATATATTGAAAAAATAATGAAAAAAAAAACACTTCTTTATCGGTGATTAATCTTAACAATTAAAATAAATATCTAACAGATATAAACTATGCACAATTTCAAATTTTATAATAAAATTTTTATCATTGAATAACTTTACATAATTTTCAATGATTTTAACCAATTAGAATTTTGTTTCTAATCTATTCTAATGTTTGTTTAACGAGAACATTATTTAGTTAAAAAAACAAGTTCGTCTTATTTTGATAATAATATTAGTTGTAATTTATCTATGATTAGCAAAAAATTTAATTCTTCGTCGATGTTAATGAATTCATGACTTTCTATGAATAATTGTCCATATAGAGACATTATATTTAGTTATTGCTTTTATACAAGTAAATAATAGAGTCAAAAATAAATTGTTTTTCAAAATTATTAGCTTCTTCTCTTTAGTTTTTCCACTAGAGAACTCTATTGAATTTATACGACACTCTAATGATATTAATAGATCTTCGAATTTTTCTGTAGATATTGTCTATAACTTGCATACAAAATTCATATCCATGTATGCATCAAACTGTAATGTTGAAGCAACAAAATACTAATTAGAATATCAAAAACATTTGATGATAACATTTACCTTCATTTATCCAAAAGATACAAAACTATGCAACATCTGCTGTTCTATTAAATGAACTTCTAGATAAAAATAATTTATATGAGGTTATTCTCTTAGATTCAGCAGCTTTGTTATTTAATTACTAAATGAACTATTGTATTAGTACTTTACCGAATGGTTATCTCATTTTCGTTTCTAATTAAAGTATAAGAGGGGCAAACAAATATTTTTATAATGGAAATCGATGTTTGGTAGACTTATTTCACAAATATGATAAACTCTTTGAATTATTTTATCTCAAGAAATTTTACCTGTCAACGGTCTTTTTTTTTTTTTTTTGTAAGATTGTTCAAAACTGAAACTTGTCAAAAAACTCAACTTCAATTAGAACCATTAGTTTTTAGATGCTTGCGAAGAAAAACAAAAATTCAATCTTTAAGGTTGAATTCTCTTTAGTTAAAAATAATATGAAAAGTCAGTAAGACTCATGAAATAACCTTTCACAAACATTAATTTTCAATTTGCAAACATCCGGAAAACTAATTAGATTGACAGATGAAAAAGGAAGACACAATGACGATACTAATTGCTCAAGAAATCGGATTTTACAGTTACGTATTCATTTTTCTGCTTGGGTTTATCGAATATATATTTAGTCTATTGACATATTCATCTAAAATTCTTCACACTGCTTCAATTGGAACTTATTTATATATTTCTGATTCTTTCTGACATAATGTATCAGTTTATGCCTATTCATGATTTTGTTACATCGCTTTTGCAAGTGAAAATTACTAAAACTGTCTATCTATGTCGTTTTCCTACGTTGTTCTTGGATTAATTGGTCTAGAACGATTAATACGTACTCGTTTCCTATATCAACAAATACTAATCTGTACATGAACAATAGGTTGTTTGTCAATTATTGTCGTTTGAATGTGTCCAAGTGTATTTTCTTGTCATTGTTTTTCAATCGAGATTTCCTTTTACAATTGTTGAACTTCACATCTGCGAGTCATCTCATACGTCTTATGCAATCTTCTATTTTAAACAGTAGTCTCTTCTTCAATTATTATTCATGTATGATATTCTAAATTGTTTAATGATTGTTTCTTTAGTTTTAATTCGTTTAAATCACGTATATGATAAAACTGAATTCTAGTATCAGTCAGAGAAGAAAAATGTTCAACAACAAATATTAGTCTTGATAATATCAAGAACTATATTTTTTGTCTATTTGTTCAGTATCTTATTCTATTCATCGTATTCTTTTTTTTAAATCTGAAGTTTCTTCAAGATGCATTGATTAAAATAGTAATATTGACTCTTTTTTTAAATATGAATTATTGTTCTAATTTTTATATTGATTGTTTAACATCATAAGTCTTTCGAACAAAATTTATTCAACAAGTCAAACGATTTATTTCGTATTTGAATAGACAAAGACAAATAAAGAACCATATTGTACTTCTTATTTAGACAATAGTTAGAGCAAATAATTAAAACAAATAAATGAAACATTTTTACATTTATATTTTACTTAATATAATCATTCTATTTTTAATCATCACTTGATTTCATAATTAGTTTTGTTATTCAATGAAACTCATAAATTATTATTGCCTTAGAAAATTGTTTATATACTTTATTAAATACGAAAGAGATTTCCATTCATTTTGAATTATCTAGTAAGTCTTCAATACAATATTCATTTATTACTTACTTTGAGAATAAAATAACAAATAGTATTTAAAAAGTTAAGAGACTAATGAGTTTTTAATTTTAACTAAATAAACGTTATCTGAAGACAAATCTCATCAGCGGAAGTATTTATTACTAAAACTATAAACTTATAATTTAGGTAACCATCATAATTGAATTGTACATAAACAACGTCTATTACCTTCGAAGTTAGATTGAAATATCAATTTTCTGGATGTGACATTCTACAATGATTTTCTTTTTCTTTTCTAACAGATGATATTCGTCAGATAGTGTTAAATAAACATGGATTATCAGAATTTTCAAAAAGTTAATCAAAACAATCAATATTAGTCTAAATAGTATACGTAAAAAGATGATCATATGCTTATGTTAAATAAGGTTTGATTCTTAGATGAATCATTATCACATCTTTGATTTACTTGTAGAGCTGGAATTGAACTAATGATAATTGAAATAGCAAATAGAATTAAAAGAATGATCCATATATGTCGTTTTATTTTCCGTGGACGCTTTGTTAACTTCAAGCAACGATTACAAATTATAAAATAAAGCCAATCAGCAATTTGTACGGCAGGAACATCAATAAATAAATAGAATGCATATGAAATTGATAAAATAATTGGTAATGCAAATATAATTAGTCCTATAATAACAGCTAGATCTCGACCTAAATGTGGAGCTATCCATTGAACAAATGAAACATCCACAATACATAAAATAATGTAATGTGTAAGATAAATACCAAATGAGATTTTACCTAGAAAATGAACGATGTTTGTTGATAAAAAATTTTGAAAGTTTTTCGATATAATTGATAAAAGTAATAAACAGAAGCCTCCCAAGGAAATCCAAAACCAACCAAACATCCAACCTAATGGAGACCACAATGTTCCACTACCATTCACTACATCTGTATTGAATACAGGATATGAACCAAAATATATTGTGAATAATATTAGACTCAAATTGATTAGAATTGTCCAATACATTTTTATTGAATGACAAAAATGAAGATATCCACCAGCATCTAAATCGCTTAATAAAAGACCAAAAGCAAATGGTTGTATGTACTGAACTGGTCTCGGTATTGATCCATGAGTAGCTAACCATACTACAGGTAAAATAAGTATAAGAAATGCATAGAACACTATGCGATAGCGATAAATAAAAGATCGAGTTACTAAAAATGCTAAAAAATAGATTAAAATCGAACAGACGAATTCGACTTGCATTGTCCATTGTATTGTATACAATGCTGGCATCCAAAAATATTGTCCGAATGTATTTAAAATAACATATCCGAAATTAATTTTTTCTGGATCTACACTACCTTCACCAATTTCATGACATTGATTAAAACCATAGAATGGTCGAAAATGTAATATAGCAAAATAGAATAACAGAGCAATGGTTGATGGAATAAAAAGTCGTGGAAATCGACGAATTAAACCACTAAACAAAATACGATTATCGTCAAAATGTTCAAAATATCGTCGTACAAGAACACATCCAGATAGTACAAAAAAACCAGCGACAGCAAATTCTCCTGCCACCAATAAACGTAAAGGTGAATGTTGCATCCATGGACGAAAAAAAATCGAAAAACTCTCTTCATGATTTGTTTTACCCATTAATAAACAATGACTAAATACAACAATTAAACAAAGTATTCCACGAAGACCATCAAGGTATAATAATTTTGGAACAGCATTTAATCGAGTCGTCACTTCAGTTGGTATTGATGATGATAATTCCTTGTTCACATTTGTAATTGATATATTAACGCATGAATCA